CCAGGAGCCACCGCCACCAAGGAGTAGCAGGCCGAAGAGTCTGATCTTGGAAGGGGCCAAGTCGGGAGACGAGTTCCTCTCCTGGGACCACAGAATGTGAGGGTGTGGGGGACTGCAGGTGGGTGCCCAGGGAAGGAGGTCCCCTCAGGGGAGGTGGGGACAGGGACGGCTCACAGGGAGGAGCCACGAGGAGGAGACACTCACCTGGCTCTCCAGACACCTGGGCGGCAGATGGAGCAAGGGGGGAGGATGGAGGGAGCGGGGCGGGGCGAGGGTTCACCTCCCCACCTTTAGGCCTCAGTTGGAGCACCTGAAATGGGAGAGGGGGCCACTGGTCACCCGGGCGTCACCCGGGCGTTCAAAGGGGTATGACTGGGAAATGCAGCCAGGCAGGTGGCCTGGCCGCTGACCTGGAAGGTCCCTAGGATTCACGGTTCTTTCCTGAATCTGGAAGAACCCCCAGGCTACGAGGGAGACACAGCTGGCCTCCCTCCCACCCACAGGAAAGCGCTGGGCCGACAACTTTGAAGTTCCCTCTGGGTTTCCCAAGTTGTCAGGGAGCCTGGAACCCACCTCAGGAAAAGAGGAACAGCTCCCTCCTCAATTAAAGGTGTGTGGGCCTCAGCGAGGGCGGCTCCACCCGCTGTGGGGGAGCCAGCACCACGCAAATGCCCGGTGCTGGGTCCTCCCGAAACTCCCTGCTAGGCCCTCCGGTCTTCAAGGGCAAGGACAGACTGCTGTCTGATGACTGCCCCTTCGCCTAGCATGTGCGCAAGGCGCCAGCTCCATGTTTGAGCCGCGTGCAGCGCCCCAATCCCGAACACAGCCCGTTTGAAGCCGATGGTTAGACTTTCTTTGTGGCACTCACGAATTTGGGAAAATTTACAAGTGGGTAAAAAATAGATTTTAAGACTAAAAAAGATGAGGACTGGAAATTTCCCTGCGTGTTCAAAAAGATACATAGCATCCTAAATCAAGCTACTATCTGCGTACTTACATAAGGAAACTCCAAAACTAAGGCGATTCCGTATTTTCCCAAGGAGAAAAAAAAAATTTATGCCAACTTGGATATACAAACTTTTTTTGGGTTGAAGGAGTAACACCGTATCTACTTACAGTATTTATTCGTACATACACGTTTTCTAAGACTCTGCTGTTCTCTTTCAAAGTTTTGAGTAGAATTCAATCGCTCTAACACACTCCTTTACTTTGGGCTTCTCTGGAACTAAAATGCACTACTTTTAGTATTCTCAAGTGGAAAAGGGAGACGTGTCTTCTGTGGGTCATGAGGCACGAAGGCTGGCATTTAACAAAGAGTAAAATGAAGTAACGTCGCGGCCGCTGTCTGTGTTCGCTTAAAATTACTGGCAGTAGCAGCTCTGGGATTTTCTTTCAGCTTCACGGCTACACGGGGGAAGTGAGGTTTGAGAGTCGTTTCACACCCAAACTCAATCAAATAAAAAAATTCAGATTTGGAATGCACTGAAAGTTTCCCTAAGAACCAAAACACTTTTAACGTTTCTTATTAAACCGCTCAAGCCGTTCTTCTATAAAATCTTGCATTGCATTTATGCTGAAGATCGAGCTTTGAAACAAAAGGTACTCATCTTACACATTCCGTCAAAACATTCTCATGGAAGCGCCAGCAAAATGTCTCGTTCCACGATCAGGCAGTTACGTGTTCATCAGAAACCCAGATTTTACTGCGTGTCCTGTGTTTAGCCCGACAGTCCCACTGGACCCTCCCTCTGCTCGAAAGATGGCGTCTAGTTCCTCTTCCAGCGAAGTGGGCGGCCCTTCGTGACCCACTAACAAATCGCAGGGTGGGTGACGAAGCGCAGCCTCTGATACCACCTGGCATCGACAGCACCGTGGCTCTTGTCCTGGTCTCCCGCTCTCCTGGCCCCTGCCCGGGGGGAAGGCAGCTACCACGTCCCGAGGACCCTCAGCAGCCCCCGGGAGAGGCCTGAGCAAGGCCCCGAGGCCCCCGCCCACAGCCGTGCTCCTGAGCCTGGAACAGGGGCCTGCGGCTCCAGTCAAGTCTTCAGGCGACTGTAGCTTTAGCTGACGTCCTGGCCGCGCACCCGTGAGAGACCAAGTCAGAGCCACAAGGCGAAGCTGCTCCTGACACGCGGACCCACCGGAAGGGTTGGAGAACTGCTGTTGGAAGCCACCGAGTTGGGGGTAACGTGTTAAGATGGCAGTGGGTGGCTGCCACGCCCACTGAGGGGTGTCACGGGGTAACAGCGCCTTCGCCACCGCCTCTGCCTGGGCCACTCCCAGCTGCACGCGGCCACCGGGCGCTCTCTCCCATCCCAGACAAAGCCTCCTCTTGACCTCATGCGTCCTACTTTCTGTTCCTCTGTGCCCGAAACTCCTTCCAAATGTCTGCAGCCACTCGTCCGGTCCCCCTTCCCTATCGTCTCCCCAACTCCAGCCGGGCCTCCCAGCTCCCCGCCCCCCTGCAACGGCTCCGGTCGAGCGGGCACTCACCCGGCTGGCATCCCACCCAAAGGTCCTTCTTCAGTCCTTACCTGATCCGTTTACTAAATATTTATTTAGTAGCTACTATGTGTCAGCTATTGTACTCGGTGCTGGAAACACAGCAGTGCACCCAACAGACCAGAGCCCGACCCCTGCCTTGCGCGCATCCAGCCCGGTGTGGGGCGGGGGTGGTGAAGCGCTGCGGATATTTATGGATAAAATGATATGTCTGGGATCAAAATGTTTCCAAATAATAGGGCCAAAGGGGAGGAGTCAAGATGAAACAAAATGAGCTTTTGTTGTTAATTATTGAAGCTGCTGATGAGCCCATGGGAGCTCATTAAACTGTTCTCTACTTGGGTATATGTTTGAAATTTTCCACAATAAAAAGTTTCTCTAAGTGCAGCATGTCTGCCAGGTATCCGCTGCGAGGAAGGCACAGGCGCGCTGAGCGCGCGGGTGTGACCGTTTTAAACAGGGGGGTGGTCACAGCCTGAGCGGAGGGAGGGCCAAGGAGAGACAAGGCCAGAGGGAACGATGGACTGTTCTAGAAACAGCAAGGTCGGCACGGTGAGGGCAGTGAGGGACGGGGAGGGCAGCTGGCCAGGCCTTGCTGTGCCTCCCGGGCTGTGCGAGGTTCGGCTCTTACTCTGAGGGCGAGCTGCCGGCGCGGAGCGGGGGTGGCGAGAAGGGCTAACGTTTTAGAGCAGCCTCTGCTGCCCACCCCTGCTCTGCCGAGGCCGAGGCCGCGCGGCAGCCTCGCCCAGCGCCTCTTCCCCTCGCGGCCAGTCCTCTCGGCCGCGTCAGGGCACGTCAGGGGCTCCCCCGCTCAGGCCCACGGCCAGGCCACCACCTCTCACCCGAGTGCCCCCGGTCTTGTCATGGCAGCGGGAGAGTAAATGATGGGGGTTGTTCGTAAGGGATGGAGCCACACAGCTGTTTTAGGGGCTTCAGTAATTTATTAGTTCCAAGAAAATTAAGCACGAGGGGGGCCTGGGCAGCACTGGGGGAGGCCAGTGCCCAGCAGCCCCCAGGCCGTCCCATGGGGCACAGCGCATGAGCACCCGCACCCACTCTGCTGGGGGAGGCCCAGAGGAAACACAGCCGCGTCCTGGGGCGAGAAAGCGACCTCTCACACACACAGCACAACGACAGGGCACGAAACGTTCTGAAACAGACGACTTTCACTGCGAGGAAACCTGAGGAATTTCCGCGCCCAGCGGCCGGTCTCTTTGAAGGGACCGGCAGGGGAGAGTGGGGCCAGGAGGGAGGACGCAGAGCGGCCTCCTCGGGGCCTTGTCCGAGACGCCCGGGCTCGGCGCGGGCCCCCGAAAGGCCCCTCTGCTCGGGAGAGCCTGGAGGAATGCCGCGGTGCGCAGAGGCGCGGCTGTTGGGCTGGGCCCCGAGGGACAGGCCTCTGGACCCTCGCCAGCAGGCAGTGGCGGGCTCCCCTTGCAGGAGGGGGAGGCTCGGAGGGGTCAGCAGCCACACCAGGCGGAGCTGGCAGGCAGCGGCTGGGATTCCACCAGGCTGGGCGCTCGCTGCCAGCGTCCCAGGGTCCGCAGGGAACAGCACTGTCCTGCTGGCCCCGCGCCCGGGGGAAGGGGCGCCACGACGCCCACACTCGGAAAGGGCTCTGTCCCACAGGGCGAGTGGCCTCCTTCCGCTGGCCTACAGCTCTGCTTCTGGGGCCTCGTGGCCTGGCACCGGCTCCCCCACCACAGCCCCACCCGCCTGGGAGGAGGGAAACGAGGGGCCTGGGAAGCCGGGTGCAGGAGCGAAGAGCCTGAGCCAGAAGCCAGGCCCCGATCACGGCCCCGACCCCTGGGGAAACGCCAGCCAGTGTCCTCCCCTGCTGAAACCCTTGGCCCCCTGGAAAGCAAAGCGGGAAGCAGGCGAGGAGCCGTGGGGGAGCCCAGGGTCCCACGGGGGAGTTTAGGGGACAGGAGGTGGAAGGAAAGCAGCCGGCGCCAGAGGCTGCGCAGGGGAGGGCCCACCGGCACCACGGTTGGGCCAGGCTGGCTGCTGGGGACCACAGGTCTTTCTGCTGACCGCGCCTGTCCACACGCCACGCCACACCACCAACCTGCACAGACAGATGTACATGTAGACACACACATACCCCCTCTCTGTGGAAACGGACCCCCACCTCTCAGACCACAGAGGTGGCTGTGCGGCCTGAGCAGCAGACAGGACGGGCTGGGACCCGCCGTCGGGGGGAGACGGGAGACCTGCAGAGGTGGGGCGGGGCTGCGCCCGAGAGCACGGAGCACGGAGAGCAGGGACCAGGTCCGGCGTCCGGAGGCGGCCGCGGGTCCCGCCGCCTGGCCACGTGCTTCGTCCCCTTCACCTTCCTGCTCCTAGCACGTCAAGTCAGGTTCTCTCATTCACATCCAGAGTTACCGTCCCAGTTGTACCTAAAGAAACATGTCTACAAAATTTAGATTGGAAACTACATAAAGCAAAGTGAATTTTCAGGTTAACTCAAGGAATGGGTTTTTCTCAAAGAAGCTGTCCAAATGAAAGAATTTATTTTTATAAATGTTTTTTCCAGCAAGTTTATCTCTATCCACCTGGGAAACAGGAAAAAAAAATCTGTACTTAATCTTGTGCCAAGTATAAAAGGATATCCAGTAACTTCTACTTCTTGCTTTACATTGTTATTACCATTAATTTAAATTCTTGGTATAAAAATATTTTTTAAAAAATCCCCACAGGCACCTGGATGTACTGCAAGCCTGCGAGCACACGCAGACCGTGGGCACCACGGCCGAGGGCTCGCGGGGCCGGGATGGGGCAGGGCGGGGGCGCCGGCCCCGGGCGGGAGGGCCCCGCGCCCAACTCCACGTTCAGCACCGCGGAGCCACCGGCCATGGCGCCCACTTCACAGCGTGAAGAACAACCGCCTGATTGAAACTGGGGGAGAAGGACGCTGTTCAGGGGGCAGCGACTTCCGGCCCCGGGGACGATGCCCAGACCCAGGCGGCGCAGGGACAAGTCGCCGACTCTGACCCCGGAGACGTGTCAAGAGCAGACATGAGGCTGTGATCGGGGAGCCCCTGGCTGGGTTCAAGGCGCTCAACGGCGGTCCGCCTTCCGAGCCACCCGGCCGGGCCCCTCAGTGGAAGGGCCGTCCTCTCGGGCGCCTGGACTTCAGGTGACCGGCTGAGCGACGCAGAGCTCTCCTCTCCTGGCGGTGCAGTTTCTCGGCCTCCTGTTGCTTCTTCTGCTGCTCAGACTAAGAGAGAAAGTTACATGAGAAGCGGGGAGAAGGACAATCCCAGCACCCCTCTGCGAACCGTCAGAATGCCGACCGCGACCGCCGACCCCAGCCGCGCAGCGGGATGGGCGCCGCCCGCGGGCCCAGGGACCCCTGTTGCTGTCACGCAAGAGATTCCAGACCCCCGGGCAGGACAAGCTCCCTGACACAGCGGCCTGAGCTACGAAGCACGAGACTGACTTGTCAGCCAACACTGCTAGGACGCCTTTAAAGGAACGGTCCACTCCAGAAAGTGTCATTGGCTTCTTCTAGAACAGTCTTTTGTTTATAAGCCAGAAACACTGGTTTATTCACACTGTCTTAAAAAACAAAAGATAGTATTCATGTGCCCTCAAAGTGCACTATTACCAACCTGTGACTTCTACTCATTCACCAGAACTGGTTCCAAAGAACTCCTGGTTGTTTTCAAAAAATGAAATTGCTCCCAGAAGCCAGAGATCTGCCACCATCAGACACTGACAAGCGCTCAGCAGACAAGCCCCGAGTCCTTGGCCGGCTGCGGGGGAGGCACGGTCTCCACATGCTTGCTCAGGTGGGGGCCAGAGCCACCCCGCCCCCAGCGGGGGCGCAGAGGGGACAGGCACCGCAGGGTCCCCGGCAGAGACAGGGGCTGAGCAGCTTAAACCCACCCGACGATTTCAGTGACACAAACTCCTGGGACGTAAAGCTCCCACACCAGTCCCAGCGGCTGAGACTGCACAGGCAGTGGACTGGTGGGAAAACTGTCGGGGACATACATCCCCAGAGTGGCCAGCCACCGCTCTGCTCTGAGTGGAGACAGCGCTGCCTGGAAGGCTTCCTGCACGTGGAGAGACCACGTTCTCGGGGGGTGCAGGGCAGGGACTGGGGGGACGGCGGCCAGCAGGCGCGAGCGCTGGGCACAAGGCCGGGGGCCCGAGGGTCACGGGCAGCGTGACGACAGGTCCCCACCGCCGAGGGGCACACACGGAAGGGAGCAAACCCTGAGAGCATTCGCCACAAGGAAAACCAGTTCCCTCTTTAAAAACCGTATCTATATGAGATGATGAACGCCTGTCCGTATCTTTGCAAACCTGGCGCCATCAGAGCGAACCGTCGAAGAATCAGAGGTGAACGGGCAGAGCATTTGAACAGATGTTTTCCCAAAGAACATATACAAATGGTCGGTAAGTACATAAAAAGACCCTCGACATCATCAGTCGCCAGGGAGACGCAGATCAAAGCCACATGAGACACCACTCCACAGCCACCGGAACGGCTCCAACAGAAAAGACGGACGACGGCGAGTGTCGCTGCGCATGCGGAAAACGGACGCTCCGCACACTTGCCGGTGGGAAGGCGGCACAGTGCGGCCTCGCTGGGAGACAGGCCGGTCGCCCCTCAAAGAGCCGTGAGAGGGTCCAGCAATTCCACTCCTAGGTCCTGTCCCCAAGGTAAATGAAAGCACACGCCCCCACAGGACCATGCCCCCGAGGCTTCACAGCAGCATTATCCACAAGAGCCAAAAAGGGGGTAAATCCCAAACGCCCTTGAATCAACAGATGGATGAACAAGCAAAATGTGGTATTAGCCACACAATGAAGGGTTAGTCGAAAAAAGGAATGAAGTCATAATCCACACTATCACATGGGTAAACCTTGGAAACACGCTACGTGAAAGAAGCCAGTCACCAAAGAAAACAGGGTGTGATTCCACTGACAGCAAATGTCCCAACGGGCAAGTCCACAGAGGCAGCAAGCAGGCGACTGGCTGCCCAGGGCCGGGAGAACGGGGGCATGGGGTGGCCACCGAAGGGGACGGGGTTTCCCCCGGGGCGGCGAGGATGTCCTAGAACCAGGGAATGGCGGTGACTACACAACTCAGTGACTTTTCTAAAACCCCTGAACTGTACTTCAAAACTGAGTGAGTTTCATGGCATGTGAATTACATCTCAAAAAAAAAACTCAGATGTAGAATCTTTGTCATTTTTTCCCACTTGGTAATAATATATATTGAGGGAGATCTACTGAATGAAAAACCCTTTTTTGGAAACAAAAACCACAGTTCCGTTAACAGCAAACACGTAAGGGGCCCACCCCTCCTGTAACATGTGCCAGGCCTTTTCAGGCGGCTAAGGAGCCAATGCTCAGGGATCAGCTGGGGACAGGCCCTCAACCGAGGGAGCGACTCGCCTGAGGCCACGGGCTCCCGGCCGGCGGGACGCCCGCCTCGACCGCATCGAGCTCTTGGCCTTCGACGCCCCTGCGCTTCAGGCACCCTCTCGCGGCCGCAGGCGGTGGGGCCTCCGCCGTGCAAGGCGACAGGCCCCTCAGGAGGCCGTGAGACCCAGCACGAACAGTGCCAACTGCAGGGTCACTGCGGACACCGGGGCACAGCCAGCTCCCGCCCCCGAGGGGCTCTGGCTGTGGGGAGAGGCTCCACCAGGGGCGCGGCTCCCCCGCGGGAGAGGAGCGAGGCGGGTGGCCCTGGGGCCGGAGGCAGCCCGAGGCTGCAGGAAGCCTCGCCGTCCAGGGCGTTTAGAAACACGGACACCAGCTCACCTTCTTCAGCGTGAACGTCAGCTGCTTGCTGCCAACTGTGGTGTCTGACACACTCAACGTCCCCTTTTCTGCTTCAAGTTTCAGCCGATCCTCCAGGGTTTTACTGTGAGAAATGTAAGAGAACGACACACTAATCAGCATTACATTTTGATTTCCCGTCATCAGGATTGACATCATGGAGAGGAGTCCTTGGCACACGTGCTGAAGGCAGAAAGGGCACGCGCTGCACACAACAGAAAGGCCTAGGGGCGCCTTGCCTGGTCGTCACTCACAGCCCACAGACACTTAGTACCAATGGCAGCTGTCAGAACACTCGCTAACCTAATAGTTTAAGTGGTGGTTCCACACACTCCCACGGCTGCTACTCGTCTTGCTGACTCGTGTCTCTGCAGCCCGTAATTCAGTGCGCAGGTCGGCGGCCCTCTGCCGCCAAAGCGCTTTACACCCCAGCCGCATCGTCAGCTCTGTGGGCGCCCCAGCACCCCGCTCGCCTTCCGCAGGGAGGGAGCGGCGCGAGGCCCCGAGGCCAAGGCACAGAGAAGCGCGAGGAGGGTCCTGATTCCCCCTTCCCTGGGCCTCGCCACCCACCCGGTGAGGGCAACGACTGGGCCTGCACCCGCGACTCCGCCTGCTCCCTGGGGAGCACAGAGCAAGCAGGGAGGGCCTGCCCCGCCCGGTCACCGCACTCCCCCAGGCGCCCCGGGTCTCACCTGAGTGACTCTGACACTTCGCCCCCAACTTAAATCCCAGGTCCCGCCTCCGTCGCGCTCCCCCAGCCCCTGCGGGCCCTCCGCCCGCGCCGCCTGCTCTGGGAGCCTGCCCTCCGTGCCCTCCTCCGCCCCTTCAGAGCAGAGGCCCGGCCTGGACCCTGTGCCCACTGTGTAACACTCCTGCAAGGCTTTTCAAAACACTGGCCCTTTCTGTTAACTTGGTTTAGAGGGAACAAAAGGAATTAAGCCTAAAGATATACGCTTTCAATACTTTTTAACCTCAGCACTGATCCTTCTGGAAAAGGCTGAAGCCACGCCCTCACCTCCACAGGACGCTGGAAGGAAAGAGAAAACTGTTCTCTCTCCTGCTCTGCTCCCTCCTCAAAAGAAAGAAAGCACAGGCCTCCTCCCACCCTCCTCACTCCACCTTAAAGCTGAATGAGCCCTCTGCCCCTTGGTCCCCAGAAAGCGGCCGCTGGTCTGTGTGAAGGGGCCCTCTCCCCCGAAGTGCCATCTCTGTGACTAACACAGCTCGCTCCTCGAAGGCCCCCGAGACAGGGCGAGGCTCCTTTGAAAGTCTGAAGCTCCTGTTTGATGTGCGCACCCTGAGAGCTTTAGCTCCCGTTTATGAGGACTGTAATGTCCGACACACACCTTCTTTCTGTAATTTGAGGCATAATGTGGTTAGCATAAAAGTGGCACTCTTTCCTAGGCAATAATGTTATTAAGAAGCACTTTTAAAGTACTTTTCATCTTTAAAGTTCTTTACAGGCTAACTAATTAATCCTTTCAACATCCCTGAGACGGGAGCGTTCACCCTTTGCGGACGGAGGGCCAACGGCAAAGAGAAGGCGAGGCAGCAACCGGCTTGCTCCAGGCCACGCAGGGTTCAAGTTTAGAATCTGGATTCCAACTTAAGAGCTTTGGGTCTCCAGGCATGTGTCGGACGGACCACACTTGATTTATAAAGCCTTGTTCAGGAAATGTATCCATTAAGGATTCTAAATGACAAGCTTCCACATGACAAACTGCAGAGAATTAAGATTTACTTTGGCTCTGTCTTTTTTTTGACAGGAATTCAAAAGTGCGCTGTAAGCTGACTCTGTCCTGCAGGTGAATCACATTCGCCTAAGCAGATTCCTCAACCTGCTCCTTCCTTCTTCTGTTCCCCTTTTAGAGCTATAAACTCTGTCTGATGTTTTAAAGTTAACAGGGATCGTGAATAACTATGGAGCCACCAAGACAAGGGGGTACACAGAAAACACTAATTTGGGAAGAAAAAGACTTTTCAAGTAAATTGTGGGAAATTACTACTCTTTTCGGAATGACCTATTTCCTCCGCGATAGGGCGGGTGAGCCCTGGCTCCCTCCCGACGCGCCTGTGAGGGCCTGCCCGTCTGGGCTGCGGGGAGAGACGAGCTGTGCGCGACGGAGCCGTGGCAGGAGATCAGACGAGGGCCGAGGGCGCAGCCGGCTCCAGGGCAGCGAGCGCCACGGCCCTCCCTCCGAAAGTCGGTCTGCAGCGTGCGCTGCTGCCCGGCAGTCCCGAAGCCTGCCACCGCCGAGTGTGAACGTCAGAGACGGCTGCGGAGGCAGACACGCCCCGGAACGCTGCCTGCTGGACGGGAGAAGGTGCTGAGACCCGCACTGCCGGCCGCGCGGGCTCCTCCCGGGTCCTGCTTGTTTCCCACCGAGGCTTCAGGTCTGTGGGCTTCGGGCTCCTTTGTAACTGATAGTAACAGATTTTAGGGAAAAAAATCTCACTGGCATAAGATAAACAACCTCCTCCCAAAATCTGTGGGGACTGCTAAGAAGACAGAGATGGGCTTCAGAAGGCCCAAGTGAGAATGATGCCTGAGGACCGGAAGGAGCGCACGCAAGGGAGGGGCCTGAATGCTCAGCAGGGCTGTATTAACAGGAAAGAGAAAACTGAGCACAAACCCCAAGGGGAAGCTCAAGTCAGGACACGGACAGGGGACAGGACAGCTGAACGGTTACTTGTTTGAAGCTTTACAGTACATACACACCAGTATCTCTTTAGTTAAAACCACCTGATGACAAAGAACGTTCACCTGAGAGCCTCGAAGGCACTGTGAGTGAAAAGGGACTGGGGGCGGAGGGTACCGGGCAGGTCAGGGTCCCGGCGGGGCGTTCAGAAAGCACCACGCCCCGCCCCCGTCTACGACGCGGCGTGCGGAAATGGGATCCATGGGTAAAAGGCACATTTTAAATCCTTTAAAACTCTAAGCACTTTGTTTTAAATGCAGTATAACTTGGGCAGGTGTTCACACGCGCTGTGAGGGTCACTGAAAAGCCTGGTGCGATGCTTTCAGCGGCACACGGTGCTGCAAAGGCCCTGTCTCCGGGGCTGTGAATTCTGGCAGCCGTGGACCCTGACCCGCCCTCCATCGGCTTTGTAACGTGGTGCAAGACCCCAACACCCGCTGCTGGTGCCGATGGGGGGCAGCGGGCGCTGTGCGAGCAGGCGTGCAAAGTGCCCGAGACTCCCAGGAGGGCGACCTGGCCTCAGCTGTCACACGTCCTTTGGATCCAGGAAATTCCACCCCAAGGCAACATACTCTGAAGAAATTCTTAACACACGCACACAGACCGGAGACCCACCGCAGGCCCAGTGCGGTCGCTGCGCTGAGCCCCACCAAGACGTGGCACTGCAGGCCTGACCCCCGCTGAGCCCGTCCTCGGCGGCAGTGCCGCCTGCCCGTGCACCGTTGGCCAGCGGGCTCCCCCGACCCCCGGGGCCTGAGACCGTGCTGCCGCGACCGCCCACGTCTCCCCTCTCAGGCTCAGGCCGCGGAGGATCTGGATCCCAGCGTGTCTGTCCCTCTCCAGCCCACGGGTCAGGCCCCTGTCACTTCCAGCTGGGACTTGGGTACAGTCTGTCAGCTGGTCTCAGGTGCCCCGTTTCTCCCCTAAATTTTCTAAAACAGACTTCTTGTTAACCGTTTCTGGGAAACAGGGGCTTTGGAAGCCTACCTGGTTTTGTCATCCTTTCCTACAGCAAACGTGCACTGCCTTTCTAAGTACTTGCATAGTGGAGGAGGGAGGGGCCCCGCTGGTCACTGACTGCAGCCGAAACCCACCCGCCCCCCGCCCCGCCCGCCCCCCGCCCCGCCCGCCCCGGCTCTTGGGCGCCTTCGGGCCTGTCTCCGGCCCCTCCCTCCACGCGGGCTGCGCTCTCACTGCCCAGAAGCAGCTGTCCCCTCAGCTGCCACAGCGCACTCCTGGGCTTGCACCGCGGCCTCTGCCTAAAAATGCCCCTTTCCCACCCTGCTTGTAGTGTTCACCTGTTCATCTCTGGAAAGACAGGTTTCCACTTAACCCCTTCCCAAGGCTTCCTTCAATCTCTAGTTAAATCCCTTTCTTTCTGACGCGCCTGTCACCTGCCTTCTCTCAGTGCATGGAGTCCCCGCTGGAAGGGCGGGCGACAGGCCTGGGGGCTGTGTCCTGCCCCCCAACCCCACGCGCAGGGCCAGGGCGGCCGCTGGCCCCCACCAGGCTCTCCTCGCGTGCGGGCCTGGTGCGTGGGGGGAACGGAGAGGCTGACAGGGGAGCGGGGGGACGGGCTCGCACAGAGGAGAGCAGGCTGCGCAGCACGGAAATGTGCTGACATACACATTCATCTAAAGCCGGGTGACTACGCCAAGCAAAGAGAGCTCACTCAAGTTCCAGTTGCAATTCCCCGTTCACTTTTCCCTTTTATAGAAATGGTTTTCAGGCTGGGCAAGTCCCAGTGAGCATCAGCACTCAACACACTCGATTTTGATGCGTTTCACGGACGGCTTGCGGTAACTCCCAGAGTAAATGGAAGGAGCCTCTTTAGTTCCCCGAAGGGTAACAGTTCAGCGCTTCATTCACTAATATTAACATACTGCAAGTTCAGGATTTGTTGAAGTAATCCAGTCAAGATGAGAATTTGATAAGCTCTTTGTGCCAAAATGCCAGCAAACTGCAGGCTATTCATACTAAAGAGCTATTACACAACAGGATTTTTCTTTTAAGCTCATATAAGCATTATTACTTATATAACCCCTCTTCTCAAAACTGTTTGACTTGGTAAGAAGTGTAAGTGCAGCGTATTAACTTAGCTATTACTCAGTCACTAAGCACTCCATTTCCAGCCGCTCGGTTTTCTGCACAGCCTCCCGCTGAGCCCAGGGCGGAGGAAGGAGGCCCCGAGATTAGTCACGCCTCCGCTCCCAAGCCAGGGCCCCTGCTACCATGGTTACACTGAAAACAACTGCTCCCAGGTTTTCCCGGTCCCTGGGCTCGGGGGTAGAAGAGATCTTTTTCAGCAGGTCTTGAAAAGTGTAACTTCCTGAGTAGCCTGACCGTGGCCGAAGCGGAGAAGATGCCCGCATTCCCGGGATTTCCCGTGTGCCTCCTCCCGCCCGGGCCCAGGCGCGGGGAATGAAGTATAAAGCGGGACAGGAATGCCTTGGACGCGCGGGGCTCCGAGTAAACGGCGGCAGGACAGCAGCCACGTAAAACCCGAGGACGCATGCACACACTGCGGGTGAGGACGCAAAATGGAGCCGCGTCCCTAGAAAGCAGTTTGGCAGTTTCTCAAAAGTTTAAAATAATGTTCCCTTCTATCTATGTCTCTATGGACCTAACTGTTCTGGAATACCACTCTTTCTTATCAATTTTCCCACAAAAGGTGTAAAACTTCTGGCAATTTTTCCAAGTGATCTTTTCAATAATCAGGTAAACTAAGATGGAAGTAAAGACAACTAACATTCTAATTTTTAAAAATAACTTGTTAAGAGGCAAAGAACATTACCTCAGTCGCCACTGTACAAGAGACCACTGATCTGCAGGGCACAGAATAAGACAGGTGCCTGTAGGTTAGGAGCGATGGGAGAAAACCAGGACAGCCCCTGAGTGTCGCTTCTGCAGGGTAAGAGTGGTAGGTGTGCACTTCCCAACACTCACAGACCCCTCACGCCCTGCGCCTTCCTGCACGCGAACCACACCTGGAAAGGCTGTTAGAAGCGTCCCCACGAAGCCCAGGGCGCGCCCTCGGCTGGGTGGGGCTTCCTCCCTCCCGCCAGAGCCCGCACGGCCGCCCTGCACGGCCGCCCTCCGTCCTCCGGGCTCCTCAGGGCCAGGCGCCCTGAGGAAGGGCCGCCCGACCGCGCGCGCGAAGGCGGCTACTCACTTCATCAGCTTCTGCTTGGTGGCAGAGTCTTTGAAGCTTCTGAACTCTTCGCCTGCTTTGATCTCATAGAACTGGGGCCTGAGGACCGTCTGCTGGTCCTCTCTGAGCTGCTGCTGCCGCCTGGCCCTCTCCTCCTGCTGGAGCAGCCGGCGCTGCTTCCGGACCTCCTCGACCCAGGCCTTCTCGTCGTCCGAGCTCTCCGAGCTCTCCGCGTCGCTCGGCCTCCCCTCCGGTTCTGCCTCCTCTTCCTGAGGATAAAAACAGTGAGACGTGGCTCCTTTCCCCAACCAAATCCCAACCGTTATTTTCTTTTAAACAGCATCAGCCTATCCGAGTACGCGAGAGCGCGTGCACCATGCATGGGGGAAATGCCTGTAGCTCAGCGAGACGTAGCCCGGGCTGAAGCTCAGCCCGGTCCCAGGGCAAGTGCGCTCAAAGACGCTGCTGACTTACAAAGAGGGCTTTGTACTGAAGAAACAGTAGCAAATTCTGCATGATAGTACATTACTTTTTCTTGATGTTCTTGTTGCTCTAGGAGTCTTAGTTTCTTCTTCCTTTTTTCACTAATTTTTGAAACAAGTGGATTCAAAAGCCTAAATTCTTCACTCTCTTCATCTACTTGGAAGTCAGGGTTCTCAAACATAACTTTAAATCGATCGTCAGTGAGAATATTAGGAAGGCTCTGTAAGGAGAATGTAAAAATTTAAAGTTAATATCGTGCTGAGTAAAATTTGACCAGAACAATGGCTTTAAAATGTATCACTCAATTATAGATTAATAAACTGCATAAGGCAACAACTTATCAAATTATTATGAAATTTCTTTAGAACTGGTTTTCAGAACTTTCTAATTGCCCCCAGGCTCTGTCTCCCGTCCCCACGCACGTTCTGTTACCTGTCGCAGAGATGACATGCTTACGTGGCCACCGCACAGAATGAGCTATGGACAAGACTCATGCCTACCTTTAAGCCTAATACATTAGAATTTTCTGCAATTAACATTTTTAATGCAAAACCATTTTTCAAAGAAATATATGTTTGGGAAACATGGCTTTTTAAAAAAAATGATATTTATTTATTTTTAGAGAGCGGAGAAAGGAGGGAGAAAGAGAGGGAGAGAAATATCACTGTGCGAAAGAAACATCTACCAGTTGCCTCTCACACGCTCCCAGCCCCCAACCGGGCACCTGGCTCGCAACCCAGGCAGATGCCCTGACTGGTTATTGAACCAGTGACTTCTCAGCTTGCAGGACGACACCCAACCCACTGAGCCTCCCTAGTCAGGGCAAAACACGATGGTGAGAAACGATGTTCTAAGAAACCAAGCTGACCTCCAGTCAGTGAGTCAGCAGATACACTGCGGTCCCTCCACACAATGGAGTATTACTCAGCGCTGGAAAGAAATCAGCCAGCAAGCCATGAAAAGACAGTGAGGGAACTTAGCATGTCACTAAGAGAAAGAGACCAGTCTGGGGAGGTCGCAGACTGCACGACCCCACCGCATGGCGCTGAGGGAAGGCAACACAGCGGGGATGGTGAGGTCGGTGGTGGCCAGGGGCCGGCCGGGGGGGGGGGGGGGCGGGGGCACAGAGGGTGTTCAGGGCAGTGGGGCTACTCTGTGCGACCCTGTCATAGTGGGTGCATGTCCCTGCACATCCGTCCGAGCCTGCAGAACACACACTACCAGGAGTGAACCCTAATGGAAACAACAGTGTCCGCGACAATGTGTCAACGTAGGTTCGCCAATTTTAACGCGCGCAGTCTCGGTGGGGGACGCGGCGAGCAGGGAGGCTGTGCGTGTGCAGGGACGGAGCTACACGGGAGAGCTGTGCCTTCCCCTCGATTTTGCTAGGAACCTAAAACTCCGCTAAAAAATTAAGTCTTTAAAAAAATCCAGTGAATTAAAAAAATTAACAAGCAGAAAAGAAACTGTGCTCCTTTAAGACTAAGACTGGCTAAGCCTATGGCAGTGACGTGCGCACGTCACCAGGACTTGACGGCCACCCACGGGGCCTGGGAACAAGGCCTGGGTCCCAGGCCAGGGGCGGGGCTGAGCTGCGTTATCCTGGAGTCACCTGTAACTAGAGGACTGCCGAAGAGCCAAATATTTTCAAATGAATAGCTACTCACCTATTATATATTTTCGGGTAAAGAAAATAAATAGAACCCAAGGAAAAAAATTTCCTTTTCATCTTACTGTATTTATTAAATAACAATATTTAATAGACGACAGGGAAACATGTTTATAAGACTATGTTGCTAGTACTCTTAGGATTTTTCTTACTTTTAAACAAATAAATTGCTTTGCCAAAAGACAAGTGTGCATTGGAGGAAAATGTATAAAGTAAAAACTCTTCTGACCCAGCTGCAAAAGTATTCCCCCCAGAGATTTTTCCTAGTCTAATCGTTTGTTTTCACAGCTGTCTTTTTTTTTTTAAAGTGGGATAAGGTGTAGTTAGTGATGTTCTACAGGAGTTTACAAGTGTCTGGCTAGTGATCCGCCCTATAAATACTCACATATATATGCTAAACACCTGCCACTCAAATTTGGAAAACACCTCTAAGTATTGTTTATATCACAGCCCTACCTCAAAGAAGTATATCTGCAGATCTGAGTAGGAAGCTCATTAACAGTTTGTGCTAACATTGTAACATATATTAGGAATGTCTGACATTTAAAACAAATTAATTCCTCCAATGCTACGATCCGATGAGATTAAGGCGACGCAGACCTCCCGAGTAACGACCCCGGAGCAAACGCAGGCATCTCCCCCCGCCCTCTGCTAAACCCACTAGAACAACTGAGGGGGCTTCAGGAAGCCACAGGCCCTGGAGGACAAAGAGGACAGAAAAGGGAACAGGAGCAAGGAGATTTGGGAACAGGAAAGGCAGGCCCAGCGCCTGGGCTCTCCATTGGGGGAGGCACTGCTGGGTCAGGGCACCCGGGGAGCACAGGGGGCCGCAGGGGAGGGCGTGGCTCCCCCTACCGCCCACCCCCCTGCAGCCCTCCAGGTTCCAGTCCTTGCATCTCAGGCTGCGGCAGCCGGTGGCCGCTCTCTGAGCGGGAGAGTCTGTCCAACCAAGAGAAAGGCCACGAAGGTACTGCTGTCTGGAGCTTCCCCCAATCAAGTGTGGCCAGGTCACCGCCCAGTGATGAGGAGCTGGCCACCCCGAGCGCGGCCATTCAGCTCTTTGAACTCTTCACTCAGACATGAACCGCGACATGGACCACAGCAGAGAGAAACTACCTAATTTTTTTCCCAAGAAAATTTCCCAGCTAAGGACCCAAGTGCAGGGATTGAAAGGGCCCACAGGGCGGCTCGCACTGCGAGGCGGCACAGAGCCGGCGCGGGGACTTCCTCGGACCCTTCCTCTTTCCTGCCTTCCTCTCTTATTTTGCAGGAGAAAATCTCCGGAACTTCCTGAGGAAAGCAGCACGCGGGGGCAGCCTGTTGCCCGCCGTTCAGCACACGCAGGTCTGACACACTCTCCACTGCCCCCTCCCACTGACTGACGGTGCTGCCGGGTCGGAAACACTGTCCCCTCAGGGCACGGGGGTCCCACAATTCTGCAGCCACTGTGGGGGCAGCGTGAGTCCCCAGGATGGTGGCTGAGGACCAGGCTTCCCGGATGCCCAGTCCAGACTGCAGGGCAAGAAGACGTAGAAGAGACTTTCCAGCAAAATAAAATTATTCTAACAACCGATCTTCACCTAAATACCTTGAGATGCAATTTAGACAATGGGCAAAAAATTGAGGGCTAAGTAGCGGTAACTACAGAAGAACAAACCAGCAGCTCGTCACCGAGTCCAGGGAAGGCGAGGGCTGTGCGGGAGTGCCACGCGGAAGTGGGGCTTGGGCCCAGGCTCAGCCACGGGCACGCTGGCGCTGACCGCCCCCATGTTACAGCAGGACAGCGCCGGGAGGGAAGGCTGCCCAGAGGCAGCGCCTGCGTGTGACAGTCCAGGAGGACACTAGCAAGAGGCAGAGCGTTACACCAAAATGATCAGCTGAGAAGGCCAAAGTGTTCGTCTCAGGGAGGCAGAAATGCCGGGGGGGGGGGGGGGAGGAAAGGGGAGCAAGGGGAGAAAAAGGACAGAGGGACAGCCAATGTCCTAACAAACCCTGGAGAGCTGTGTGGGTTTTGAAACTGTGTGTGAACTACTGCAACAAAAACCAAACCAAATTTTTTGTTAGAGCCGACCTGATGCAACCCCGCATCTATGCAGGCTTGTGCCCTTCCCCAGAGAGATGAACTGCTCCGCTAACGCACCCTCATAATGGCAGGGGCGGCCCCAAGGCCGTCAGACGCCCCCGCCTGGAGGGTCACGCACGAGGCGCAGGCCGAGCTGCTGCAGGGCCCAAGAGCAGCACGTTCAGACAGACTCGAGAGCAGGAGCGAACAACGGGCAGGGAAGGCCAACAGGCAGAGAATGATCCTTGTAAGAAGAAACTGTGCCAGCAAAACTCAGCCCCTCGGAGAGCCAGTGGGTCCGGGGGCCACGCCTTTCCACGGTGCTTGTGTGCAACAGGGGCTCAGTGCCCACTTGTTGGAAGAGCAGATGGGTTAATTCTGAGCTGGAGTTAATACTACCACCCACTTCTAAGCGTGGATGAGGTCCAGACAATGCCTCTTGCCACCGTGCGGTGGGTGACTTCACTGGAGGCCCCGCATCAGCTGACGGCAAACAGCTTATTAGACTTCAGTGATGTTATCAGCAGCAGCGGCACTGGGAACCGATCTTACTGTCTGCCTCCTTAAAACTTCAGCTGGAGCCAGAGCCAGGCGTAACCACACCCCGCTGGCTTTCAGATCAGGAGTTACCAGCACCAGTATAGCCCCTGAGGGTTTGAAGAGCAGGGTTCAAAGGCAAGACTAATGAACTGCTGATGGATTCAGCAATTCTTTCAAGTATTCTTTACAATTATAATGAAGGATTCTTTCCTTAATTCAGGAATGGTTTTGAAGATCTTCATTTTAATTAGATAACACTGTGGAACAACAAATCTTACAAACTTTAAGAGCAGCCTCAGGTTAGGGCCTGATTTGGATCAGCAAGCCACTAAAAAGCAAACTAGGGGCACATTTTACAGGGGCACAAATACTCCTTATAAAACCTTACCTTAGCTTTCTTTTTCCACATCGATTTTTGCTTCTCTTCCTCCTCCTCAATTAATTTAAGTGCCAGCTCTTTGTTAACTTTTGGCAGTTTCTAGTAGAGGAAAGACAAGCTGTGTTAAAATACCTACATTTTATCTTTAAAAATTATAAAGCAAAGAGCTGGACAAAAGTACTGCACACCCCAGCCTCCCTGGCCACTGTGCACTCATTCGTCACTCTCAAACACTTAACAAATAATCCGGAGAAAGGAAAAAACAGTCTTTTGTACTGCAAGAGCGTGTGTGCATTTTTTTTAGCCAGCATTCAGTGAGAACTGCCTGTACCATGTGGCGGGATAACCTTAATCAAGAGGGGCTGCTGGAGGGACGGGGTGGCTGGGGATGGCGCGGGGGGGACAGACCGGCTCCGCCCTGCCCGCCCGCCCGCAGCTGAGCTGGCATCCACGCCCGCCCGGCGCCTGCTCTCCCCCCTGACAGCAGCAGGCGGTGCCAGCAGAGCAGGGTTCCCGTGTGCGGTTTTCTGGTGCTCCCAGGAGCAGCCCGTCCCCCCCCCCCCCCGAGGCCCTGCAGGAGCCCCGCCTCCGGGCAGCTGTCCCGCCCAGCGCCCAGCGGGCCTGCCAGCTCTGCAGGTCCCTCCTCCCTGCAGCCAGCACCTCTCCTACCGATGCCCCGTGTTCCTGTCCTTCCAGTCCTCTATCGCCCCGTTAACAATTCTCCACACCGAAGTCTGTCTATTAATGTAACCAGTGTGGTCTCATCACCGTCTGGGTCCTGACCTAGCCTAAGGCCTGTCTCCCCCTGTGCCTTGCCTAAGACTCAGACTGTCGTCAGCAGGGACAGGGGGCTGGCAGAGCCCCAGCACTCCCCAGTGTGAACACCCGCCGGGAGGCAGCGACAGATTCTCACAGCGGGTGGCACTGTCAGCCCCTTGCCGCTACTGCCCATGACACCACTGCCGCAGAGTCCGCCATGTTCAAACCAGAGCATCCCCCTCGTGATGAGCGGAATACACCCAAAATACTAGGAGGAAGTACTAAATGACGGGAAACTCAGAGGGGGATGTCAGGTTTCTCTGGAATAACAACGAAATGAAAATTAAGTGCCTTCCTCTAGTGACTTCAACGGGGAGGACAGTATTTACCTTTAACTGCACTCTCTGTGCCCGCGTTTCTTCTATCTTCTGTCGGATCTTATCTTTCCTATATTCTTCATAAGCAAATGGGTTTACCATCAATTTCACCTTTCCAAAGTCAAAAAATAAAAAAACTGTATTTAGCAGCACATTTCATATATACCATCACTACTATGTCAATGAATAGACAGATTTCTTACAAATCATTAAATAGGTTTTATGACAATGCAAGTAAGTAAAGAAAAATGGCTACAGATAGTTCATTAGTCACCTAAAATAACTGTGCCTTTGTGTTTACCTTGTGATACAGCCTTATATCCATGAAAAATCCATGCATATATGCCCGGAGAAAAGGCGATCCAATGAGATGCGTGAGCCCTGGGGAAGTGAATGAGAAGAGGGTAGGTCCTTAGGAAATCTCTCGCAATGGTAACTCACACTCACTTACTGTGTTCAGACACTGTGCTGAGCACTTTTCAGACATTATCTGCTTCAGTTGCCAAGCAACCCTGAGTGGGTGCCATTGCTACCATTGCTACTACCATTTTATTGGTGATGAAACCAAGGCAAATTGAGGTCAAGTAACAGGCCGAGTCATAGCAGAGCGGGGGTGGGGACCCACTCCAGTAAGTCTCCAATGCCCATGACACTGGCCACTGCGCTCTATACCCGCTTCTCAGACAGAGCAGCCCGTGAGGCGCGCTTTGGGGATGCCATGTTACAGGAGCTGCTGAAGGCCATAGGTGGGGAAAGTCAGAACTTGTAAGTATTTAATGTTCATAATCTTATGAAATGAGTCAGTTACTAAGCCTTATTTCTACTCTTAAATTATTTTAAAGGTTTCATATATGATGGTGAAATCTGTTGAAAATGATAACCAGTGGCTCATTTAATATTACAAGATATTAATAAGGTACATGAAAAGATTTCTAGTATAAGTTATTTTGCTGAATATTACACCTATTTCCACAGTTTTAAAAGTGGGCGGTAGAATCACATTTTATCAAATGTAGCTAACCCTTTATAACTGTCTTCCGCACCCAAAACAGACACAGCAAAGACACGGAAAAAGCAGCCCAAAGTCGGCAGCAGGGCGCCCGGCCAGGCCCACTGCGGGGCGGGGGCGGGGGCGGGGCGCCGCCGGGGGAGGCCCTCCGGGGGGAGGCGCTCGTTGCCCGATTTACCTCAAGCCGCGTTTAAAAAGGCAGAACATGATTTTTTTTTTCTTTTTAAACACAATAAAACTTGAGGAGCTATTTTCATGGTCATCGGGGGAAAAAATTCTGTCTGGATTAGCTGCGCTATGAGATGTAGGACATAAATCAAGTCTAAGAACCCCTCCAGCAGTCTGTTTACGACATGATTCTGTTTTCTTCTACCATTCAGTTGCTGTTGTTCAAAGGCAACGAGGTCGCCTGGACTTGGGGCGACAGACCCCCATGCGTTCCCACTCTCGGCGACCGCCGCATCGCCCTCCCCGCTGGAGCAAGGCCAGCAGGGTCTGCTCGCTTCACCTGCAAACCACCGGAGCTGGGGTGTGCGCGCTGTGCTGAGAGGCTGCAGGGCGAAGCGCGGCCCCGGGGCTCAGGCGGCGCCCTCCCGTACGCTGCCCCTGGAGCCCCCAGCAGCTCCCTCCGCTCTTTCTGTGCCTCTGTCTCCCTACTTTCCAAGCAGAATCGCAGCCGTGTCCACTTCGCAGAGCTGTGAGGGCTGAGTGAGTAAATCCTGAAATCCTGAAATCCTGCCTGGCATACGCAAGTCCTATGCTAGTGCTGAATATTATTAAGAGGCACTTCTTGGTTTGTAGTCTTTAAACCTAAAGTACCCAGTAAGGCTCTGCATATCTGAGGAGTCAATCTGTGGGTTCCAAGTCTTGGACCAGACCTTTTAAAAAGCAAACCTACAGGGAGCCAGACATCAGTTACTTGCAGTCTCTAAGATTTTTCAAAACCTGATTATATTCAATTAGTACTTGAAAAAATAAATCGCTTTCTTGACAGATATTTTTTCCTACCTATAGTGTTATTCCTCATTTAAGATACAAAAGAGCTTTAGTAGGTTGAACTCATCTGAACCTTTCTCTAAGCACAGATCATAAATCTGACAACATATACTGTTTAATAACCTGATTTGGCAGAAAGAGAAGATTCAAAAATCAGATAAAAGTGATTCCACCCCTTTTAAAATGTTCAATACTACCTCCCCCACCCACCAAACAAGCGAAGATACAAAAAATTTATAATCACTTTATCCTAATTTTTTCTTACCTAAGTTTTCCAGGTCTTTCTGGGTGACGAATTTGTAGTCATCGTACACCGTGCTTTCCGGATTCTCTTCCAGTTCTTCTGTCAGGTTGTCTAAGAAGGAGCACCACCTGGGGGCAGCACCCAGCACCTGCCGGGGTCGATGGGAAGGTCAGCGAACGTGCATTCCCACACGTCCCCTGAGAGTTAGTTATTTTACAACCAGATTTCCTTAAATGTATTTTTAAATCATTGATTCTATCAGAAGTATTGCAAATAACTGCCATGCGCATAGTTCACAAGCAGATGATGGAAGAGCACGAAGTAGGAAGAGCTGAGGCTTGGAAGGGGGAACCCCATCTTGGGTTGGGATGCAAAGATATTAATGAGTATTCTCACATTAGAGCACGGGACACAAATACTTCAGGCACTTGTAACAACACCCATCTGTTCATCGCCTCTTTCATTCAAAACAATAGTAGAAGCTACAAAAGCACATTTGGTATACACGCTTTTTTCAGTTTGCCACTCATGAAGAACAAAAGTCTAATATGAGAATTACCTTTCTTAAGGGTTTTCAACTAATTTACTTCATAACTACATTTGCTCTCTCACATGGCCCACTTCATTTATTAAAAATTAAAACTCGGTATGTAAAGTTCTCCAGACGTAACCCGAGGCGGGATGCCAGGGTCCCCCAGTCAGTCCCAGTGAGAGGCAGAGGGACCAAGGGCTGGGCAGGGTTTGTAGCCCGCTACTCACAGCTGGGGGCTTCGGTCTGTTGGCCCCGGGGGACTGACTGCTTCTTACTTTCTTGGCTCTGATGCAGACACTTGCGCCCCCTCCTCCCACCCTGACCAGTGGCTCTGCAGGAAGTGATGCCACTGAGACCCCCTGGGCCAGGGGGTGGGGGGTGCGGGGGGAGGGGGGCGGGCTGAGAAGAGAGAGCACCAGCCTCTGGCCACAGGGAGCTTCCACGGACTACCTGCCTGGGGACTTTGACAGTAACCAAGTACACTGGAAAACAACAGAAATCCCCATGGAAATGACTCAATCTAGCTTAAACTTCTTGGAGAAAGGCAGGTGGCAGGAATAGAGTTAAAACAAAGAAAAACGGTCCCTAACGCCCTCTTCCCTAACTCCCTCTTCAAAGAAAAAAAAAAAAGCAACCTGAAGGATGTTAGATACAGCCACACCTGGCACACAATAACATCGTTACATTATTTTGGCTGATGAGAGAGAACGACCCCACCCCTAACCACCGAAGGCTGCTGGGCTCCTGGGCATGAGGACCAGCTCTTAATAAGCACAGAAGGCGTCCTGCCGAGAGGTTCCCTATTAGCCTCATCTGTACCATTTTTGAAGCCAGAAGATTATACACACGAAGGGGTTTGACTCTAACCCTAGAAGACAAGCCTTCAGGAAATGTAAGGCACCTTCAAAACATTCAATGTGGAACACTTTTTAAGAACAGCAGTTGTAGTCACCAAACATCAATGCCAAATACTACTACACACAAAGCACTGTGCTAAAACCAAAGCCACCGACTGCGAGCTCCGTGAAGGAGCTGGAAGCCGAGCCGGAGCAGAAAGACGCGGGCACACCCCGGGCACATGGGCAGGCACACGCCGTGGCTGGAGGCCGGCACTGGGACGGCACGGAGCCCACAGGCAGGCGGCGAGAGCAGGAGAAAAAGGGCGCGGGCGGAGCGAGCACAGGAGCGGCTGGGAAGACGACGGGTGCCTTGCTCGAAGTGACGGGGCATCTCCCTCCCGGCAGTCACTGCTGTCCCCTGCAAAGCTCTACCATACGTGGTATGTGTCCGAGGAGAGCCATCTTCTCTTTCAGACGGCACGAAAGTACACCATGGTCACTCCTCTAGAATGCAATATCCAAGACTCTGTCTCTTTGGGGGAGTAAGAACTTCACTTGTTTTAAATGGTGAATTTCCAGCACCTAGAACATTGCCTGCCGATGTTAGTAAATGTTCAGTACATATTTCGTAAGTAAATCTACTTATACACAAAACATGTACGAAAGCATTCATGAATTTCATGTGCACGAGGTACTACAACTTAAAAGGTCCTGTTTGATGGTTTTTTTAGATTTTATTTATTTATTTTTAGAGAGGAGAAGGGAGGGATAGAGGGAAAGAAACATCAATGTGTGGTTACATTTCACGCACCCCCTGCTGAGGACCTGGCCTGCAACCCAGGCATGTGCCCTGACTGGGAATCGAACCTGTGACCCTTTGGTTCACAGGCCAGCACTCAAGCCACTGAGCCACACCAGCTAGGCTGTCTGACAATTTCTTAAATCATCTAATTGTCCTTTTTCAGATAAAAACACTCAAATGCTTCACTATAAAACGACTGGACATGAGGACACTTTCCAGTGAAATCAGGCCTACTCTGCCTCCTATCAAGCGGGCACTGGCCGCTGAAGGCCCCACAGCAAAGGAGTCTCCCCTCTACACCCTACGCCAGTCATAAACACGGGCTGCTACGACCATAAAAAGATTATACAGTGTTTACTGACTTTTCCTGGGGGATGAAGGGGAAAAAATATCAAAAGATCATAACCCTTTTTCATTATGTTCCACAGCAGGGTTTTTGATTAGTTATCTGGAATCTAATGGAATTGTTTTAAATTGCCTCTCAGGGACAGGCCTAGTTATGGTAAGTAATCTCTGCAATCAAATCCTTGGTCATTAAATTTTATAGGAGGAAACATTTCCATCAAAAACAAAGTGAAATCTAATGGGTTGATTTTATTAACCATGTTTCCCTAGTTCCTTTTCAGAGAAAAAACAGAACCAGCATAACAAAGCTGAGATTACTGATTTAAGGGGCCTGACCCTCCGGTTTCACCCGCAGGAACGCTTCCCTCAGACGTCTGCCCTTGAGGCGCTACCACTGCAGCCGCCTGACCAGCATGGAGGCCTCGCCTGCGGCCCCCGCGGCCCTGCTGTGCCCAGGAGGACCGCGGTATCAATGAACGTGTGACCATCCCTTGCTGTCTCCATTTGTAAAATCCAGTAAACCTTCCTTAAAAATATATGAACTTACTCCCTAAATTTCAGGCTTTACAACTTCAAGAAATCACCTCTGAGCCACTGAAGTACTATTACTACTACTACATCAAAAGTTTCCAGGTTTTCGGTGGCCATTATATTGCTGTATCATATACTTCAGTCAAGGATGGTTATTGCTTGTTTATCTACATTTTTATTCATGGGAAGAGTTTTGTTTCACAAAGTTGATGAGGACTGTTCTATTTTAAACTCCTATTATCTGTTAATGACCTTCCACTTTTTATTTATAAAAATTACCTAAAGTCACAAGTCATAAAAGTAGACAGCTGGAAACTGATTCATCAAACTGCTATAAAGGGATATGGTGGGTCCCTTAGCAACGTGAATGCCAATCTTTTCAACCAATCTAACCGGAAATACTTGGTTCTCCAAAATAGGAAAGAATCTCTATCCACATGTTATGGGAAGGCCTTGACTCAAATGTAGCCAAGTATTTGTTTGTTCTAATCCATTAAGGCAGAAGAACCCATTTTAAACTACATAAAAATACATACTATGTTCCCAAGACCATTTGCCTCTGTGATTAAAATCTGCCTTTAAAATGTTAATTATATGTTTAATTTTAAAACTCCAAATTCTCATATATTCTCATAACGGACAAAAATAACTAAGGGCAGGGAGAACAGAGGATAAATATTAAAACTCTTAGGGAGCTGGCAGAGAAGAGTGTCCCCTGCCCCCACTTCACTTTCAGAAGACTGCTGTGCCACACCCCAAGGCCGTCTTCCAGAGAAACAGAGGCTGAGGAGTCCTTGAGAGAGAGTTTTAACAGCTCAAGGGAGGTTAAAGTAACAACAAGGTAGTATGCACATTGCTGGAATCAAAGGCCCAAACCAAACTCGTTTACTATAAATGCCACCATTTTCCAGTTACTTATAATGCTAGTAAGTATGATATAATTATTTTATTTTCCTCCTCTTAATATGAAAAATTAAAACAGCAATTAAATGGAAAATTGTCTTGCATTTTTAACCGACTAAAAAAACAATTTAAAAAACTTTAGCAACTAAGAAAATTCTTAATTACTCCAGTAGAACTTTATCACCGGACAATAAAAAACCTCTGAACCAATGACCTGACCGGTGTGGCTCAGCTGGTTGGGCGCGGCCCCACAAAGCGAAAGGTCGCTGGTTCGGTTCCTGGCAAGGGCACACGCCAGGGTTGTGGTTTGGTTCCTGGTCAGGGCACGTCCCAACCAATCGATAAATAAAACCTTAAAAAACAACAACTTTCAACAAAAATGGGCTCATGCATGGGAAACTTGACCTGATACATAATTACACTAGACACAGAGAAGTATGTAACACATCCAAGTACATGCAGCTGGGTTTTCTAAATATTCTTTTAAAACATTTTCAAAATGCAGGCAGCACCCAGGGTGGAGTGGGACCTCCTCGTGAACAACTGGAAAGAGGACGACGCCAGCATCGGGGAGCAGGCTCCCGGCAGCAGAAGGGCTCCGGGGCGCCGGCAGCGAAACGAGACCCCGTGAGTGCCAGGAGGCAGCGCTCCGTTCCCCGTCCCCGTACTTACTGAGCGGCCTACTGACTACGTCCCAGGCACAGTGCACTCCAGGAATGATGTAAGAGAATGAACTCTAACCGGAAGAGCTGTTTCGCATCAGCAGCATTTGTAGGTGATTCTTAATTTTCTTAACTTCATTCATTCAAAAGGTTAGGTGAGCATTTATGAAAAGTTAAGTGCTAATCGTCAAATATATGTAAAAGAAGTTTAGAAAACAATCAAGTCCAATATACTGTGATTAGTGCCACGGAAGAGAAATTTTTTAATGGTTCTGGGGAGGCCTTTACTTACTGAGGTGGGAGATCAAGAGAGTGTTGAAGGAAACACGCTACCTTGATTTTATACTCGGTAAAATATTAACTGCCATCTTTAGAACTTGATGTTACATAAAATTAATATATAGTTTACTCATTCAGTAGGCAGAAGATGCCTGGTCAGAAGAACTGTCAGTTCTACCTTTCAGTGATCGTATGCTACTATAATCCTAGAAACTCAATTTAAACACTATTTATGTTGTAATGACAGCACTGAAC